AAGCCCCCCACCCCTCCCCCTCAAAAGACAAAAAATCAACATAACACTCCATGTCAGTAAGCACAATAAATTTATTCAAGTACTGTGATTTAAGTTTGTCTTTTAAAATTGATTATGATGATTGACTGATTGATGTTATCATGCTGGCATCAATAGAATATAGTATATGGAAATTACAGAGTGATGCTAAGAATATAACATGGCTAAACAAGGTCCATTGAGAGGGTTAAATCATAAAATTGAGTTCTAAATTAATAAACCCCCCTCTAATGAGCCACCCCCTTATAGTACCTGAAATAAATAAGCCCCCAGTAGGGCTTATTAGAGGATTTTTGGTAAAAATGTTGGAGTGTAACTGATTAAGGCCTTCATTGTCGTCACATAGGAAAATGACTGCACTTGTTTTGATTTTATGTAAAATGTCTTTATATGGGAAGTGTGCTCAATCAGGTGACCCTTTTTTTTATATGTTGCGACATATTTGCCTGTAATTTTTGTACAATCATTTTGATTAAGGGCTAAAACTGTGGAGGATCAAGTCCTGTTATTTTGGGAACAAGGAGATTTTGGCTACATCAAGAAAATGAAAAGTCAAGTTATAGATTTATGTCAACCCAAGGAACTGGTATGAATTGAAATTTATTCACTAGATCACGATTTTTTGCTTTAAAATTAATAATTAGGTTCAGTACAAGTACAACATGTATTTTTTTTTGAGGTATTGCAGTGACATCTTAGACTATAATTGAGCTATTTATCACCATTATTTATTTGTATCTGAATTGATTTATAGGATGATTCATCATTGACCTGCACTACTAATCTGTGGTACTGCCGTGCAACAAACATATATTTTGATTTTAAAAATTTTAACCCGGATACTACCAGTGACAGGTTAGCCACAGTGTACCAGTCCTATAGTTATGAGGGTCAGTTCATTATTTTGTTATCAATCAAAGGCCAAATTTTGATTTACTAATGACTTTTTGTGGCAATGTTTAGTATATCCTACCTCAGTCTGTAATTCAAGATCACTTTGAATTGTCATAAAATATTTTTTTTTTTTTTAATGGAATGCCTAAGTTTAAATTATGGCAAACAGTTTTCTAAAATTATTTATGCAATGATGCAGGTTTCGTGGAGATGTGTTGAAGGAAGGAGAGGTTGGAGGTCACTGTCAATTTAAGAAAGACCTACACAAGAATCAGAATAAAAACAAAAGTCCTCTGCAATCATGGTGAGTAGAGGGCAAAAAAAAAATTGGTCTATTTTAGGTTGAGGTAGAATAGTTAATCACTGTTCATTTTTTGTTTTCTCTGCAGGTTTGCTGAACTAGAACACTACACATCACTTTCTGTGAAACCCATCCAGGGTGGACTCTGTGATGTTGTTGTAAATAGACCAACCATTTTTATGAAATTGGATGCAGGTACACATTGAATTGAATCTGTTATCAACTGGACCAGGCTGTGCAGTTATGTATTGGCTATGAAAAATCAAAATTGGGGGGTTGAAAAGTAGTACACAGCTTATCATATAGGTACAGTGAATTTATAGATGGCTTTCAACTAAAAGTAGAAGATTTTGATTCTGATTCAGGTAGTTTAGATAGTTTAACCTTTTGACCTTTAGAGTGACCAGAGTCTAATTTCTCCTTACAATATCACTCCTGAAACACACATAAAGGTCAAGAGAATACAGGAAATGATCACCCACTAAAGAAGCTACAGACCTGATTTTTTTCTCTTTGTCAACACCTTAGGAAATGTATAGAGAACAGTATGGAGAATATGCATACTGATGTCAAGGTTTAAACTGGGTCCATAGAGTCTACCATTCTGGACAAAGCTGTATAATTTAAATCTTGTACTATGATGTTGTTCAGATGATTGTCATTTAGTGCACTCCAGACAAATAAGCTTTGCAGTTTGGATGAATTTGTTTTGATTTGATAATTTCAGGTATCAACTTGTATCACCATTTCTGTGACTTTGTTAACCTATATGTAACTCAGCACATGAATGGAAGTTTTAGCAGTGATATCAATATTCTTATGTGGGACACAGTAAGGTGTTATTTGTATTCTGAAAATCATAACCTCTTTACCTCCATTTCATTTTTCCAAAATCCCATGATTGTTCCTCAGCAGACATAGAAAACCTTTTATTCGCAACTGCAGTTGAAATCCAATGTTGGATTGCTGGAATCCCTCCTCATATTTCAGGAAAAATAATTATTCTGGAATATTCTCCACCTGCTTGTATGAAATAAAATTAGAATTCTTTGGCATCTCACTGACCATTCTAACTACTCATAAGTTCTCACGTAGTAAGGTTATTTACCTTACTGCCACAACTTTTTCAACTTCAGCCAGAGTTCACTTTAGAAGTAAATAATTGTTCTCTCATGAATAACTACACATTTGATAAACTCTGATACAATACAAAACACATAGATTAGATAAAATTGACTAAATTTTGGTACGTGTAGGCACTCTCTAACAGGGCAGTGCTAATTTTCCTTGTCTAATCTTGTTGTTTCAGAGTTCACTTCCATATCGCGATCTCTTCTCTGATACATGGAAGGCATTTACCAAGCATCACATCCTAAGGTTAAGTGAATATGCTGGAAAACAGGCGAGTCTGGTATAACATGAAAACGAAGAAGTGCAAACACTTTAACATGACATGTAAGAAAGAAATTGGCTGCTCAGTGTCACATTTTTTTCTTCATAGGTTTGTTTCAAAGATGCTGTGTTTTCATTCAACCCAAGAATGATTCGTGGGCTTTACTATAACATGCCATTGGTAAAATAAACCTGAAATTTATTGAAATGCTTAAAAGTGAAACTTCACATGATTATAATCTGTTCACTGGTAACATTTACAACACTTATGTTCTTTTGATCTTATAGGTTCCAAGTTGTGTTGGAAGTGGTCTTTTTAAAGCTTTTTCAGAGCATACACTACATCGACTTGGTATAACACAAGATAATCATAGAGTGAGTACACTGTGCATGCATTTAAAATCAGGTAATTTAGAAGTTTATTCACCTGGCATTTTTTGTATTAGATTTTGAATTGATTGACATTATTTTGCTTATTTTTTGTATTTCATGATTTATTTATTCAATGTCCCTTTTTAATTTCTCTAGGAAGATGAATTTAGAATAACACTGTTAGATCGAAGCACAAAATATCGCAGAATTCTAAATCGAGATGAGGTATGAAGGAAATGAACTCATTTTTCTGGAAAATTTGTGCAGTAACTTATTTGCAAGTCATTATTTATTAGTGCAATGCTGTCGATCTACTGCAATGATTGTTGTAATTTTTGAATTTTTTTTGGTGTTGCATTAATTTTTAATGAAAAGATAAAAGATAAAAATTTATAATTGTGCATTTCAATACCTTCATTTAATTTAATAAAACACTGTTTCACTTTGATTCCTATATCCACTAAATTGTATCTGTTAAGTTGTCATGGAGAGGTGACTCTTGCCGGTATAAATCTTGTAACCCCAGTCTCCTGAGGCCTAGTTGGTATAGCATTACAACTACCGTATTAATTCATCTATAAACCATGCAATTTTTTCGCAAAACTTTACCAAAATCTCGAAAATCTGAGCTAGGAAAGGGGCCCTGGCTTATACTTCCTGGCTTTTTAAATGTTAAGCTTGACTCCTGTCAAAAGTACTCTCTCAGACTGAATTTCTTTTTGTTTCATCAATAGATTATCAATATTCTCATGGTTTTATTGTATGTTGTTTTGAACATGCAGCTTGTGGGTGCTATGATGAATGTTCCAATGTTTAAAGTGAAAGTTGTTGATTACACTTGGTAAGTCACAAGGGCTCATTTTTCATTGGCAATTTCCTTTAATGCATTTTAACAGCTTGATTGATAATTTGTTTTGCTTGGATTTTTTTTAAAGGAAAATTCCATTTTTGGAGCAATTAAAGGTGTGTAAACTGTCAGTTTTACTTGAAATATTTTTGCGTTATTTTACACAAGAAGTGTTAGTATAATTTATGAAGTATTTTCGGGTAAGACACTCTACGCTCACAGTGTTTGTTTGTTTGTATATTTTTTCAGATAACCCATAATTCCGACATATTTATTGGAATGCACGGGGCAGGCCTTGCGCATGCGCTGTTTTTACCGGACTGGGCAGTGCTTTTTGAACTGTAAGTGTCTTGAACTATACGATCACTTACCATTATACAACGTGGTGCGCCACTAAAAAACGGTCGTAATGCGTTCTTAATGTAGATCCGCCTTCATTTTCCAAAAAAGGAGGAGAAAGGTAAAAAGGAAAATGGACATCATCGCCCTTGCCTCTTTCCTTCCTGTTAAGGCCGAATGTTGGCGCCTGATAGGAAGAGTCTACCGCAGTCTATACTGGTGTTAACAATACAACGTTGCTAGTAAAACAATAGTTGAAAAAGGCTCACAATTGATTTATTTTTACCCAGGTATAACACAGAAGACCCTGCATGTTACAGTGACTTAGCGAGACTAAGGTATCGTAACGATGAACGATTACTGTAACTACATCAACAGGTTATTTTATTTTAAAGGTCCTTGCTATTTTTGATCTGATATTTGCGTAAACCTTTCGAAGGCAACTACTGAACGTTCCTTTTTTCACCAGGGGTGTCAATTACATCACTTGGGAACACAAGGAGAAACTTTATCAGGAAGACGAGGTGAGAATCGAAGAATCGTTCGTTATTCGACGGACTAGGTCAGGAAAAATTTACCTTTCTGTAGCTCAATCTGCACCCAGGAGGCTTTGGACATTGTTGATGTTAACGGTATACAGGTTAGACTAAATAATTTGGATATATCAACAAAGTTGAAATGGTGAATTGGCCACTGTAACGATTACAAAAGCCGACGTTTCGAGCGTTAGCCGTTCGCTCCGACGAAGGGCAAACACTCGAAACGTCAGCTTTTGTAATCGTTACGGTGGCCAATTTACCATTTCAACTTTGTTGATATATCCAAATTATTTCGTTACCCCCACCGACGCAGCCCCAAACAGTTTCTTTCGAAACTATCAGCCTGTACAGGTTAGACTGTTCCAGAGGGCAGCCCTTGCGCATGCGCAATGTTCCAGAACCCTTAGTTTCAAGGGACAGGGTAAAAAAAAGTGATTGGTTCAATGGTTGAGCACCCGACCGCGGAAATCTCTGATTTTTCAATGGAAGTGATTTTTTTTAGCATTTTGATGAAATCAAAAATATTTTATGGTTATTTTAAAAGGGACATCATCCGACCTTAGGAGCTCATGCTAAATTTACAAATTATGCCTTCAATGTTGACGAATTCATGAGGTTGGTCTACAAGGCGGCAGATACAGTTAAAGAAAGCCGCCGTAAACTGCTGAACAGTACTCTAAGTAACCTTCCAGACGACGGATCTACCAGCAAGTTAAAAGACGAGCTGTAAGTTGGCGATATGTAGCTTTGTTAGAGACAAAAAGGTTCAGTACATCAGTATGATATGAACTTCCGGTACATCAGTATGCTATGAACTTCCGGTGCGTAACGGTTTGTCGAGAAGAGAATTGTCAATGGTAACAGTGACAGATGTCTCCACAATGTGAGTGGAAGTCACCATCAAAGTTAAAGGAAGAATTGTTTGTCGGGTGAATGTTATGACGCTGTCTCGTATAATCGGATCGTTCACTTTTGCCTCGGTGTTAAACAACTGGCAGATAAAGTTAGCGTTCGGCAGTTTTGATCGGTGATGATCTTTATAAAATCCTAAAGGTGACGAACTTTGCCCATACCTCATGGGTTCTTGACACAGGTTACCCGTCTGAGAGGGGGGAAGGGGGGTTGAGGGAAAGGGGGAAAGGGGGAAGGGGAAAGGGGGGGTTGAGGTATAACCTAACCTGTATACTGTGTTCATGTGAACGCTTACAAACAATTTTCCCTGGACGGGATACCAGAGCATCACACGCAACCCCTCCTCCCCACCCCCTCCGGCATTTTGTCAAGTTGCCTGTCAGTTAACCGGTGCCTACCATTTGTGCTGTTTGGAGAGAGGCTGGAGGAGTTAAATGACGTCGTCGAGTTGCAAAGGAACACGGGATCTTGTCAATTGGCTCTAATATGATCTATTTCATTAATTTCAATCGAGCCATTTAACAAACTTAGAAAGTTAAACTTCTCAAGTTTCTCTGAAAGGTGTTCTGCAGCAATCGTATTTCTTAATTAAAAAATTTAATTATCTATCAGCGATGTTTCCTGGTCTATTTAACTACTGACTAGGGTAATAGATGTATATTTTTTTTCCAAATCTGAGCGCATGCACGCATTTAAAACTAGATTACATTGGAAAAGCAGCCAGGATTTTATTGGGTCAGCTAGATTGATATTCTTTTGACGTATGGCTGGTTAGATACTAAGCCCTAATTTTCAAAGGTTCCGCATGAATGATGAAAATTATAGATGATACTTTTGTCGTGAATCTTAAGTAATTTCTCTTTAGTCTTAACATTTCTGGGGTTGTCGTCGAAAAAGACATTTTAACCTCCATCGTGGTTTAAAAGATACATTTGTACTGTAGTTTTAATGTTATTGTCCTCATTGCACCTGGCACACATCTACTGATTTGCATATATTCGTATTGATATTTTGTTCTATCTTATCTAAACGCTGGACTTGCTGTTTGTCAAGACTGATAATTTTAATTCACGATGAAGTTTGCTTTACATCAGAATACAGCAAATATTATGCCACAAAAAGATTCACGATGATGAATAGTACTATATTTTCCGTGTTGGTGAACAATAAAAGCTTGTCGCTACCTCGATTGTTCAGTCAGTTGTTTTAATCTGCCTTGACCACTTATTCTTTTTTTTTTGGAAAGGTCGTCTTACTCAGCACAAAGTTTAGCTGTTTATCTTTTTTTTTCTTATAAGGTTTGCAATAGTGATAGTGCAGATTCATAGAAGCAGTTCGGAAATTGAGGAAAATGACCACTCATTGTCATTTTGACATTATTTCGAGTTCCTTCCGCTTCTTATGTGTGAAAACCCTTCACTAAATTGAATTTTTACGCTGTATTCGCCTTTTTCTTACCTCTCCTATAAAGAAAACCCAAATAAAGACTAAAAAAGAAAGGTGGAAGGTGTTTGATTTGTTTAAAAGGCGGTAATCGCCCATGAATAGGGCAAATTGGGCGTTCGATATTGAATTTGACTTATTCCCTATACGAACACCTGCTATTAGTAGAAAGAGCAAAACAGTTTTAATTATTTTTGTAACATAGGAAGATTTCTCTTTGAAGTCCTGCCGCTGTTGCTATCCAAATAGCAGCTGCACCCGTCCCTCACTTTGGATACATGATGTCAATGTGTTGTCATTCTATCGGTAGTTGCTGAAGGAAATCCTTATTCTAATATAAGCCGGTACACTAAAGAAAACTTTGCGTTGATGTTTACAAGTAGAAATCTGAGAATAAGACTGGTTTAATTCAAACCTTCAGCAATATTTTAAAGATTTTTTCTGGTTAGTTTCTCAACAATTTTTTCAGAAACAGATGATGAGGAAGAATGTAAGTTTAAACGCCATGTTTTGCTGGCTATGAATGATTATGTTAAATTAAAGTTCCGGAGTTGTCGACGGATATCAGCTTACGTGATGCCTGGGTAAATATTCTGTCAGACAGGAACACAACTCATGAAACCGAGTTCACCAGCGGAAAATCGTGAGAGGTTCAAAATGAATGATGTCTTGGATCTTCCTCCAAGAGGCCTAGGTCTTATCGTACTCGAATGCACCATTTGTCTCGTGCTAAATATCGGAAGTTTAGTTGGTAATGGCATGCTTTGTGCAGCAGTCTACCGCAACCCAAGACTCAGATCCACGACGAACTTGTACATCGTTGCCTTGTCTGTTGGAGATCTCATCACCGCTGTCCTTGAAATGCCTTTCACCTTTTGGACGTTAGTAGAGGGAAGATGGGTCCTCGGTGACGAGATGTGCCAAGTTCATGGTTTTGTCGACGTATTCTCAACTTACTGTCCTCCGGCGACGATGGGTCTTACAGCTTTCAACAGGTACATTCGAATTGTCAAGACTAATTATTACAGGAAAATCTTCTCTCCATGGCGTTCTAAGATATGGTTGACGGTTGTGTGGCTCTCTCTTGCGGGTTATCTTCTTGTTGCGCGCATGACGAACTGGCAGAGGTACGGGTTTGTGGTTGGTTTTGCCGCCTGTAGTGTCAAACATTACACGGAAAGCAGAAAGCTGTTTCACTACGTCTTCATTGTTTGCGTGTATTTTGGCGTCCCATTTTTAGTTGCCATTTTTTCCTATTGCAACGTGTTCAGATCCATACGAAAACATAATCTGGAAGTTGCACCAAATCTTCATAACGCCCAGGAAGCTGCACAGACAAGAATCTCAATCCACGAGATAAAAATAAGCAAATCTATCGCTTGTGTTTTGGCTGGTTTCTTTCTTTGCTGGATGCCGATGTGGAGTTTGTCTCTCTCCAATCGATTCTACCCAACACCAGTCCCAAGGGTAGTGCCATTATTGGTGACATTTTTCGTGTTTTTAAGTAGTTCCATCAACCCTCTTATTTACGCGGCCACAAATCATGGATTTAGACAAGAGTTTCGCAAAATGCTGTGTTGTCGTCGCCAACGAAGGCAAATTGTCCCAAGACAAAAAAGAGCTGGAACAATTGTGGAGAACATTGAACTACACGAGCATGCAGACGTCAACAGAAATGTCACCTATATGGCCATTTTAAAGATGAGTGAGAACAGACGTATTTTTTAGCAAAGATATCAAAAAAGCTCCTAGATGAACAGACTAAATAAAGAGTTGCGTCATGACTTAGTCAATGTACTATTGATGTTGGAAATATAATAAACCGAACTGGAACTGGAAGGATGTTTTATATTTTCTAATGAAACTATTGAAACAAGAGATTTCTATGTACCGGTACTTTGTTTCAATTTTTGTTTTCGTTTATTCATTTTTACATTTTTACAAGAAGGCTAAAAGCCCAGTATTTGTTTTGATAATTTTTGACCAGAGGAAATATTACTTTACTATCATGATGTCTATTAAGCGTGATCCCTTTTTTTATTGTCATTATTGTGTGGTATAGTTCAACAACTCTGTTTTTGCATTTCAATGTTCGCTCATTTAGCACATATTTTCTCTCTCGCGCCATTTATGCCAGTTTACAAGGGCTTTAGACTTATTTATTTATTTATTTATTTATTTACAAGATTTGCCGACAGGCAGGGACACCGCAACAGCTTGCGCCAATCACTGCGGGCTCAGTAACCATCCATCCCACCCAAGGGAGGACATCCATCACACAGTAGTCTCGTGCGTGGGAAATTAACGTCTCCTACCCCTAACCCTGCAGGAGACGGGACCTCCATTTATTCGTCCCTATCCGAGAAGACTAGAATATCTAACCGTTTCTTGATATTATAGAAAGGCAGCATATTCTTCTTAATTATTTTAAGACCTTCAGTGTTGGTCCGGCCGGGGCTCGAACCCTTGATCTCCCACACAACAGTCCAGTGCTCTATCCATTGAGCTAACCGAGAGCTTACGTTTCGATCGTTAAACAAAAGGGCGTTTTCAATTAGGTCACTTAATCACTCATTCTTTTATGAAAAGCATACACTGCTGCACATTATTTATAAAATTAGTTATTTCATACAATTTTTCTTACTGTTTCTAAGTTAAGATATTAACGGACTTCTTAGAAAGGCGCATTAACACCTCTAAGTCCTTTTTGACAGGTGCATTTCACCAATGAAAACTTATCGAAGAAGACTTTTGTCACTGTGAATGTTCTGTCACCAACCGCCACCTCACACTGATAAAATTGGCTTTTACATTTACTCACTGTCAGAAGTTTCTATTCTTTTTCTTCTCTGGGTTTATTTTCAAAACTCCCGAAGATCGACCTAGAAAAAGTAGGACACTTTTCTCATGACTTCCTCATGTTCTTCAGTAGGGAACTTCATCATCATCATCAATCCTTATTTCAATAATGATTAACCCGCCAAGGAGGCACCTCATAGTTTAAATAATAGCTATAGAGAAGCTGAGTGTGACTGTTGGGAGCGCCTCTTTTCGTCCAGATGAAGACAAAATAGACATTTTTCATGAGTTGCAAGGTGAACCTTGTGTTTTAAAAAAGTATTTCTCGAGGCCGATCAGTGTAAACATCACTAATTATTACTGGTTCACTTTCCTAGTCGTTGATTTCCTGTGCTGCTTTAAATGACTTAAATTACAGACATCCAATATTTCTTTGGCGGTTTAGTATAAATTTAAAAAAGAAGCTTTTAAGAGGGATACCCATGTACTGTAATCTAGAATATGCTATGACGAGGCGAAATGTTTTTCCGGGGGAAATGCTGATGAAAAAGCCGTTATTTGTCGGTTGTTAATTAAAGGTATCTCAAAGTGGAGACAATTCAGTCCCCTGAGACTAGGTTTACACTAGAGGAGAGTTTTCCGGATTCGTAAATGTTTCCGGATTCATCAATTTTGGAGTATTCGGATTCGTCGGCGTTTACACTGTAAGGATATTCGGATTCCTGACCGTTTACACACAACGACAACTCCGGGAACATTCGAAATGGAATGGTTACCAAGCCCAGTGTTGTTTCGTCGTTCGATCGACAAAGTGAAAATGCCTCCCCCAAAAAAGGCTAGAGTAGATCCAGATGCCACTGAGGCAAATTTGAGTTGGACAGATGCCAAGCAGTCTACGTCGTCGGCGATTAAGTGTGGCTGACGTTAAACTTCCTTGCAATAATAATTTGCGTTTCTTCAGAAATACTGCGGTACACATGATAAAATTTATCGCCTGAACCTGCAACAAGATTAGGCAACCGGAGACCGCCAGCAATGTTAGCACCAGATCCATTTTGGTTTCACCGCAAACTCAAAAGATTGCAGGTGGAAATAATATCCGGATTCGAGAAAAAAAGCGGTTACACGACAAAACTTTCCGGATTCAAAAGTTATCGGATTCAAAGTTCCCACTTTAAATTCCAGATTCAAAATCTCCGGAGACACGACCAAACCGGGAAGTTTTTATTTCGGATTCGTCCACTTTCGTGTAAACGGCAGAATGAATCCGGTACTAAAACGTTTCGGATTCATCACGAATCCGGAACAATTTCCTCTAGTGTAAACCTAGTCTGAAAATCTTTGGAAAATTAATGTTTAATGGTTTTACGGTATAATCCACCGTATAATCGGATCGCAACTTTCTTTTAAGAAAAGCTGAGCACCCTGTAAGGGAAAAGCTAAAATTTATACCATCATCTACGACTTAATTAAATGAAACCAGAAACTCTAGCTAGCAGTAGATAATAATGTTTTTCAATTTGTGTTCTTGTAGGGCGGATAAGCGGGGTCGAATTGATTTAACTTTCGTTCTGACATTTTGTGGTTAATATGCACAGCAGTTTTCTTCTTTATCCTGGCTCTTGCCAGACGTTTTCTTTATTTGCCTTCACAGGCTGCTGGCAACTACTCACACTTGTTTCACAAGGCTTGTACAAGACCTTTTTATTTACAAAATAAGTGCTTACATACTAACGTGACTAACGTTAACTTCTCAACTTGATCAAAGGCTGGTGTCCTTAATAATCATCAATTAAGCCCAAGCTTCTCCCAAAAATTAAAATCAACTGATGAAAAGGATAGAAAAGGATATTGAAAAACAAAATACGTAAGACTAATTAACTCGATCCATCATTTATGGATATTTAGGGATATTCGTATCGAATTAACTCATTTATCCAGCTCAGTTCTATCACCTTCAGATGACAAATATTTTTTTTATGTCAAATTTTTAAGCGAACAGATGTAAACTATTCACTCAGTCTCGATCACCTTGGTAACCATGCATGATCACAAGTGTCTTTCAAGACTTTTACTTGGGATTTTTCCGGTTGTTTTCTTTTGAGTAGGCTCCAACATCGATGTTGATTTAAGAAATTGAATATTTATGGGGACTCTGTTTCATTTATGTGTGTGAATACAGTCTAACTTGTGTTAAGCGGTCGGTTGTCAAACTCCCGAATTCGTTTTCGCCTCATCAATGTAATTTTCGCCAACATTGAGCGGTCGCCTTTATCAAACGGTCGTGGTCACCCGTCGCTAAGTCCCAACGGCATATTTACATTGTTTTCCTCCTGTAATGAACGGTGACTTAGGGCGGAACCACTTAAATAAAATTTAGAATGATTTAAAATTTTTTTTTAATTCATTTTTCTCTCGCAAAATCAAATTTAGTAGTATTTTCGAGATGAACGTTAAGAGGTCAATTATGGCATTATGGTATTAGGACGTTGTGTATCGTGTTCTATATTCCCTAATCCGTGGAACCCATTGGTAACCGCTCAAGACAGATTCGACTGTAAAAACAATATACTTAAAAGTAAAACACTTCTGAAAATTATGCATGTACAACATTGTATATGACTGTAAAAACTTAAATGTAACTCATTAATTTTTAAAAAGGTGTGTTGAATTGAAAAAAAAAAAACTTCGTCACGTCCTAAGTGAATTTTGGCAACAAATTTTGTGGTCGATTTAAGTCGCTAATACTTAAATCGTTGTGATGATGATAATTCGCTGCAAATTTCATTGATTGAATTTATTAAACATTCATTTTCAAATGCCACAGCTCAGTGATAATTTACATGTGCGTTTCCAATTCTTCTCTGTTTTTATTTGCTTGAGTCACTTCAACTCCTTCAACAGCGAGACCGGATCCTTGGATACGTCTCTTTTTCCACCAACACAGCATTCTGTAGAATTCATTTCGAAAAGCTCGGTTAGTGGCAGCGTAGATAAAAGGGTTTATTGTGCTGCTAAGAAAGAGAAGCTGTATTGCCGCCAACTGTATGCTTCTAGGGGCCGTCTCGCGAGAAAAACGCATCCAAAACAAAAACGCCCACATGGGAACCCAACAAAGCAAAAACCCAGCAATGATAAACGCCAAGGCTCGACAAACCTTTATCTCTTGAACCGAAACTTTTCCAAATCTGTCCACGTTTGTCTCCAGCGAAGGCGCTACCTCACTCTTGTGTTGTAGAGTTTTCATAAAAATTTTATAGTAGCTATAAAAAGCGACGGAAAGTGGGAAGACCAAACTCAGCGCGAATAGGACACAGTAGTGAGTCAATCGACCTTCTTCTGACATAAAAACCACGCTGCAAACTGCAAAACCGGGAATGAATTCAAAACTGTGGAGGTTTGTTACGCGCCCCAAAATGATGTAGAGTGCTATGGAAATCCACAAGCTACTCAACCAGATTTTCGACTTGCAAGGCGAAAATATCTTATTATAGCTGTGAGTTTTGACAATCCGCATGTACCTGTTGTACGCCGTCAAACCCATAGTCGCTGGAGTTACGTACGTAATGAATACATCAACAAAACCTTGCAGCCAGCATAAGGTGTCGCTAAACAGCCACCGACCAGTGATCAACGTTGCTGATGCCATTGACATTTCTACTGTTGCGCAAAGAAGATCGCTTGTTGCCAACGCAATGATGTACAGATTGATTGTAGATCGCAGCCTAGGGTTTCGGTATACGGCGAAACAAACCAGAGTGTTCCCAATGGCACTTATTATGTTCATCGTGAGACATGCAGTTGACTCGAAGATAACAAGTGCTAGGCTTCGTTCTTTTAGCTCCAGTGAAGTCATCTTTACACCATGCAGTAGGCGGATAATGTAACAATGATGTTTCGATGGGTCTTCTAAAAGCCTTAGTTTTTTAATTACACTACTCTGCAGGAAATGACGTCATTCGAAGGAGCAGCCAATTTGATTCAATCCACGAAATGAGATCCAAATCGAACAGTTCTGCCATAAAACTTTAATTGGTTATACAACAGTGATTACGAAAAAGACGGTTTTGTGGCCTAAGTGTTCCAATCTACAAATATTAATCAAATTTGAAGTATGTACCGATGAAAGACAGTTATAAACAGTACCTTTATAGGCATGATATGCTTCGTGTAAGATTTACTTTTTCTTTGGTCAGCTGGCGAGCCACAGCAAGGTTGATTAAACAAAACTACATTGAACCTCGCGTAGTTTAAAAATGAAAAGCCTTTTTGTTTGTTAGCCGTAGAAATACTTCTACGATTATCATGTCCACATTTATTTTACCAGGGAAGGTCTTTTCGTTTCCAATTTGTCACGTTCACTTAGCATTTTGTCCATAAAATATATCAGCTGCTAACTGAAAGACGTAACTTGTTCCGGCTTTCAAAGAAATAGTGCAATCAAATGTCCAAGCAAATATCAGTGTTACATGTATTTTTGATGGGTACAATTTACTTCCAACATTTTACTTCCTGCCATTGCACTTTTGACCGGTTCTACAGACTCTTTTTCGGATTTTTTTTTTCTGAAGAAAGAAAACCTTTTGAATTTTGTGAGTCGTTTGAAATATAATAACACAAAATGTTCCCAGGCACTCGTCAGTAGAATCTTCCTATTACTTGTCCAATTACTTGAACCGGAAAATTCTACACTAATCACTGAGCTCTTGTCGTGTTCTGATGGTTCTGAGATGAAAATGTCATCCTCGAATTAAAAAAGATACCATGTTTTAATTTCCAGCCTTTCAAAATTGAGGAAGTCTGTCGTAATCCCATTAACGCGCAAATGTGTTTTGTGGAAAAATCTTGATATTGGAGCAAACTTTTTAATCCGTGATTTGAGTACTAATAATCTCATAATGTTCTGACCATGGCGTCACGAGCGAACATTTTATATTAGAAAACAGGTGACAACCCTTACAATTTTCAGAGCTGAATAGCATGTAAAATTTCATCGCGAAATGAAAACGCCATCGAACAAAACTGAAGTGTCGACAAGAAATGAGAAATGTCGATGCTAGTCCAAATTCTCTCATCTAATTTATAAGGGAATGAATGGTAAACCTAAGGGAAAATAGGCCAAATTTCAGGTTTCAGAGCAAAGGTCATACTGTGATTTTTAAAAGACGCAGAGACCAAGATTTCTTTATCAGTGTTTGAAACATGCTGTAAGTAGTCATTATAGGACTTTTTGAGGTTGGAGGTGTAAGATGAAAATTACTCCATAGTAAAATATTGAGGACCAAGCTGAATATAATGAGAGTTCAGAGGAACTCATTATGAAAACCAGTTTGGATTTATTAAACTTATTCATATCTTAAATAACTAATTGTTAATCATCGATTACTCAATTCCGGATGAAAGATCTGAAGAGCTCCCCAGCAGATAAGCAATATTTCTTTGTTAGCTATTGGCTCACCTCCTTCTTTCTTTTTCCTTCTTTTCTTCAATCAAGTTAGTGGTTAATGTCCTTCGCAGCCATAACGAGGCCCAGCGGTCCCTCCCCCACAAGAGAAGTCGTTGCTCGCTGAAATCAGATAACGGCTGTGAAGGAGGCTGGGTAGTATCTTACGGCAGATCATTTCCTTGATTCTCATAACGAGACAAAGCCTAAAGACAAAGCGCACACACATCTCCTTCATTCTCAAGGTGTTTCTTAGTCTGTTTTCATATTTTGCTCCTAATGCCTTATTTGTGATATTTTTCGTTTAATGTATGGCTTTAAGTCCTGTGAATGTGCTGCTTTCTTTTTTATTTCACCTTTGAGAAGGAAAGTAAAGCATTTGTAGAAAATGGAAAACAGTCAAGGTTTCTTTATCAGGCTTCATTTTTCCCTTAGGTTAGAAACTAGTCGAGACAATGTAGCTCAGGAAAATGATAATTAAACTTGGTTTGTGTCGTAATGAAACGCCATTTTTTGGATCGTTTAATTATTTATGACAGCAGCTTCTAACTATATAAACTGGTTCTATCTGCCATTTGTCCCAAAACGAATTTCATCGTTTTGCTGAGGAGGCTTTAAGAGAAATGAAGAGGAATTCCCTTTTTAACAAAAAATCTTTCACAATCTTGCTTATTCTCAACTCTATATACTACGAGAACATTTCTGATTAACATAACTAAACAAGCTCGTTAATAACTTTCTCACACAGTGAAAGCAGTTGAAATTAACATTCGGGGTGCTGGTTTGCTAGCTAATTTTCTCAACTCTAGCGTTTCCGACATGATATTCAGGCTGAAAAATAAGGGGTAAACAGTATCTATTCGAAATCAAGTTTTAATTATCTGCTCTGGGATAAAATAGGAAAAATTAATTTAGTTTAATAACGATTAAAATTTTGCATGCGGATTTTTTTCTTTCCTTTTAATTTTTTCGGAGTTGGGATTGTTGAATGACAGGTTGGGCCAAGGGAAACTAAAGATATCATGGGGTGGTTAAAACACCAGTTAAAACTTAAATTAGGATATTGGGAAGCGTAGTTTACAGAAAAGTCATCGAACATCGAACTGAAGAGGCATTACTTGCTAATATCAATCACACCTGCGATATTAATTTGCGTCCCACCTGTTTCTAATGAGAAGATGCACAAGTCCTACAGTCACACTCAGATAAGTAACTGAAACCTCTCCGAATTACATGACACTCATATTAATGAAATTGACTGTCTTTCTCAGCATCCTGTATTGATGAAAAAAAGAATCTTTTGACATAGACTTAGGATCTCAGTTTTTCTATTGGTGTCACTGGTCTCAGAGATGGAGAAGGTAGATTGCTACAAAGAAAAGCCGTTATTTTTTTAGTTAAGTTTAGTCCGGCGAGTGGAGAGGTTGCTTTGCGATCATGCCCTCAATGCGCCTACCTGATCGATGCTCGGTAGAAGTTATCTTCGAGGCAATTATTTTCCTTGTGATGCCCGTCATAAGTGTCACAGGAAATACTCTGGTGCTTTTGGCTGTGTACAAAAACCCTAAACTGCGATTGAACACTAATCTGTACATCTTAGCTCTGGCAGCAAGTGATTTGGTGTGCGCGACGGTGGAAATGCCAATAGCTGCAACTACAGTAATCTCGGGAAAGTGGAACTTGAGTGACGGTGTATGTCAGTTCCAAGGTTTCGTTGATGTGTTTGTTACGTATGTTAATCCGGCCACTATGGGCTTAACGGCCTTTAACAGATACATGCGGATTGTCAAGACCCGCAACTACAACAAAATATTTTCACCTCGAAAGTCTAAGGTTTGGCTGACTTGTGTCTGGATGTCTTTGGCATTGTATCTCGTCATCGCCCGTGCAACAAACTGGAATAAGTATCAGTTCATTATTGGTTACGCACTGTGTAGCATAACTTTTACAACAAGAGAAAGAAAATTCGTTCACTACTGCATCGTTTTCGGCTTATATTCCATCTTACCATTTGTCGTCGCTTGCTTTAGTTATTGGAAAGTTTTCTCCAAACTCCGCCATCACAAGCGTCACGTTCTTCCATCTCTTGAGAACACCGTTAACCCTCGGAGCCGAGTATCTGCGCACGAAATCAACATAAGCCGGGCGCTGCTGTACATAGCGGCAGGATTTTTGCTCTCTTGGATCCCGCTGTGGATTTTCGCGTTTTGGAAGCGTTTATCTCCAGAGACAGTTCCCAGACTTGTAGAATTAGGTGTTGTTCTAATGTTATTTTTGAGTGCCACAATAAATCCTTTCATTTATACAGCCAACAGCCGCGTTTTCAGAAGAGAAATTGGCAATTTACTTTGCTGGTGGAAAGTAAGAAGTACAAGAGAGGTAAATTGTGCTGTTAGCGATAAAAACGTTGGACAAGAAATGAAACAACTACAGTTTCACGAAGTTCATAACAACGACAAAAGTACGCGTCCGCATTTAAAATGAACGTTTATTTCTATTCAAACACATTCTTTACTCGTCAGTAAGCAGTGCCTAGTATAAACGAAAAGGCGAAACTCAAAATAGAAAATTTAAATTTATCTACCGGCAACCTTTTCAGGAGAGATCGCATATAAATTGTCATGAGGTTGAACTGTCTGTTACTGAGTACTTTGTTTTTGTTTTCATTCGGTTTCCCTACGTATTGAACAATGACAGACCCTGAATGATAGAGCCAGCATAATCCTCTTGGCATAACAGGACATGTAGGCTTTCTAAATGAGTGTTTCTTGAAAATGACTGTTCAAAGTTCATTTAAAATGTATTAAAACCAAATAGCCATTTAAGGAAAAAATGCTTCGAATCCTTTTTCATACAACGGTTCTTTTGGAGATCATGCCTCTACATGATTTACCTTCAAGCCACTAGTTATATTGTTTGCATAAGTATGTTTGATAATGAAGGATTGATTGGGTTGGGATCGAGAAGTAAACACAGCCTCCTTTGTTCGCATTGAGCAAAGCCACAGGCAAGGTACAATCAATTTAGCTTAATTCGCCGAAACTAAAACAGACATGAGTTTAAAAAATGTAAAAGGCTGATGTACCCGCTGCTTAATCACAAACGAGGTTGTCGATGTTTTATTTCACGTTCAAAAACAGAAGAAATCAATGAGGATTGGACAGCTAGATTGTCAAGTAAGTTATCAACCCACATCAAACTAAAAAATACGCTTGATTGCAAAAGTCTGGCCGGAGATTAATTTACTGATGTGAACACATTCACCAAATTTTGAGAGAGCCTTTAATTTGTGTTAGTATTAAGGTCAGTAATCGCTGGCCCGTTTTCCACCATGGTTTGCAGGATGGAGAGCATTTTGAGATGAATGTCGCGAGACGAGAACCAAACTGAGTAGATGCAGAGGCCAACCAAAACACAGGATGATATTACAGTGAGTCAATAATAAGTAAAAGGAAATACACGTAACTGGGCTCGAACGCAATAAACGGCAGGTCCCCGAGTTGAGGTGCATGTGTGTAAATTTGAATTGATTGGTTCAGTGCGTGGCGCGTTTTTATTTTTTTTACCAATCATAGAGCAGATGGTCATACAATCCCTGATGACTCTCAGCCGTGAATCGAAAATTGCGCTTTTTGAATAAAGCAAACAACAATACTATAAGACTTAAAATACCCGTCTACGCACGAAGAGGCACGAAGTTCAAAGTTCGTGAGTAAAAGAAATAATCTTGTCTCAGTTCGATTTAATTGTTATTAATTTCGTGGTGTTTGGCTGCTTCACCATCTGGTTTTTTAACTGCTTTTGCTCTTCCAAGCACAGTTCCTGAAGGCAGTGATCCTGAGCTCTCTTGAGGTGTAATTTTCAAAGCCTTGGAAGGTTATCCTTCTTTTCCTGTCGATTCATAGCTGCTCCCAGCTTTCTTCTCGATTTCACTTTTCTGTTTATTTTCTTCCACATGATCCGCTCTCCACTATACCTTCCGGACTGTTTCTGTTACTTACGGGGGAACCTTTTCGTTCTTTTATCGTCAATAATTCCATCAACTGATTCATCGCCAGACGAGGCCGGTCTACGTCGTTTTCTCTTCGTTAAGGATGAGGATTCTACAAGATAGGTGACTAGGGGGGAGCCGTCATCTGATATCTCTAGCTTCAGATCTTTCCTTGCTATCTCTTTCTCGTTATCCTTCTCTGCACCTTCGTTTCTCTTCT